GAGCTAGGATTCACCCCCACTTCTGTCTGACTCTAACCCACTTTCTCAACTACACCCAATTCTGCCTCCACCTGGGCTCTTCTCAACTCTGCCAGTTCCTCCTGGCCCAGGCAGAAGTGTGAGTCCTCCAAAAAACAGCCTTGGATTTGTCCTTTTTGCCCCCTCCTGACAGCCCCACCCCACCACCCCCACCCCGAGTTACTGTCAATTGCTCTCTCGCTGAGCTCCTGCCTTGGGTCCCAGGGCCGGTACAGGGTTCCCACACTGCCTCATGGGTTACCTGCCCTCCAAGATGCTCCTTGGAAAAGGGGTTTCCTAGTCAAAGCAGTTTGGGAGCCCTGCACTTGTTCCCACACTGACCATCTCAAGGGACCCCAACACAGGACAGACTCTGAACAGACTTCCTGTAAAGTTGCCTGACCCTCGCTGCTTAATCCAGGATTCCTCAGCATATCTGAGAACAGAACTCACTTGTTTTTATAGAAGAAACTTTGAACATCTCACTGGACTGGTGTTTCTCATAACACGTTTTGCAGATACTGCCCCAGAGCTTGGCTCCTGCGCTGACCATAAATGGTCTCTATAATCTGAATTTGTCACTCACACCCCCACCCCCATGGCTTCCCTCCATCCAGGCTGGAATTCTTATGGCCTCCATACACCCCCTCACATTCCTGTCCCCACGCCCCTGCTTCAGCTATAGAAGACCTCTGCGTGGGGGCACACAGCTGGAGCTCCATAAATGTTCCTTCCCCTTTGTTAATGCACGCACGTGCATTTTCCCTCACTGTGATCAGTATATATGGCTGATTTCATGTCTTGCTTTTCTTACAGCCCTTTTTTTTTTTTTCCAGAAACACAGTTCTGTGTGTCAGTGAAGACCAGAGCTACTCAAAATTGGCTTTGTGGACCAGTGCCAGTCCCCAAACTGTTTATTACCAGTCTAAGATGAGATAAGGAACTTGCTCCAGAGGGTAAATAACTGTGTCACAAAGCATTCTGTTTAGTTCAGCTGACATTTTTTTTTCCTAGCAATACTTGCTTCATGTTGGAAGCAGTGTGTTCATTTACATTCTGGCACAAGATCCTTATTGCAGATGGTAAACGTTAACAATTCAGGGACCAGCTACTTTGAAAAGCACTGACGGTGACCTTGCACATAATACTTCAAGGGCAGTGGTGGTTCAGTGGTAGAATTTGCAGCTTCCATGCAGAAGACCTGGATTTGATTCCCGGCTAATGCGCCTCAAGCACAGCCACCACCTGTCTGTCAGTGGAGGTTTGTGCGTTGCTGTGATGCTGAGCAGATTTCACGGAGCTTCCAGACTAAGACAGACTAGGAAGAAAGGCCTGGCGATCAACTTCTGAAAATCAGCCAATGAAAACCTTACGAATCACAACGATCCAATTCCATTGTGCATGGGGTCACCATGAGTTGGAGCCTGACTTGATAGCAGCTAACAACAACATAATATTTCTAATTAGTATTCAGTGTTGGGTCTTATCAACACGCTACAGTTCATTAATCCTATCCTATTGTTGTCTATTTGGGCTGTTTCCAGGTCTCTGTTACTAATCAAGCGCTGCTATGAACGGCTATGTATGGACATGGGTGTTTATTTTTGTGACTCCCTCAGTTTTTAAGCACCACACTTCTGAGGGCAGGGAGGTGGAGTGGCCTCCACAGGGTCACGAGTGGCAGAGACAGGCCTCCCACCCAGGCCTCTGACCCCTGGTCTCTGTTCCTTCCTTCCGCCTGCACTGCCCTTCCTCCTGGGACGATTTTCCGTCCCTTTCAGGATTTTCTTTGCTCGCTTCTGAGCCTTCTGCAGTTTTCCCACATGTTGTCTTTTGGAGCTTGAGAGAAATCCTTTTGGAATGTCCTGTGCCTTCTCCCTCCGAGTTCCCGGCTTTGTTCAATTGTTCACAAGAAATTCCTGCCCTGATGGGAGGGGCCCTAGGAGGCTGTTAAAGAGTTTGCCACAATGGTGGTACCAACTCAGGCACAGCCCATGTCTGGGGCTCTTACCCCCTCCTGTAGATTCCAAATAAATGAGAGCAGTGTGGATGCAATTTGGTGTGGGGGAGAGGGTGCCACCCACTCCCGGCTTTATGTTTTCTATGTGGAGTAAGCAGGACCAGTCATAGGCAGACAGGAAAGAAAACAGAGATAAAATGGGACTCAGGAATGGGGTGCGGGACGGGATGGTCTAAGGCTGGGAAGGTTTGGTTCAGAGATAAGGAAAGGTTAGGGGTAGAGCAAAGGTCGGGAACAGCATCTATCTCAAATGTTGTTGTTACTGCTGTTGCTAGGTGCCATTCAGTTGATTTAGACTCATAGCAATCCCTGTGACCAAGCAGAACTGCCCCACAGGGTTTTCTTGGCTGTAATCTTTATGGGAGCAGAGCGCCAGGTCTTTCTCCCGTGGAGCCGCTGGGTGGGTTCAAACCACCAAGCTTTCAGTTAGCAGCCAAGCACTTAACCACTTCCCCATCAGGCCTCCTTCTATTACACATGCACCTCGGTAATACAAAAAGCTGCATTTATTTTCCAAGATCGCAGAATAGCGACAGCAAATGAACACATCAGATTTTTTTAGATATACAAAAAGTTCTTTCATATCATGCATCTTCTAGACCGAAAGATCCCAATGACAGAGTTCCTGGGTGGTGCAAATGGTTAAGCAGTTGGCTACTAACCACAGGGTTGGTGGTTCAAATCCACCCAGAGGCACCTCAGACAAAATGCCTGGCGACCTACTTCCAAAAGATCACAGCAATTGAAAATCCTAGTGGAACACAGCTCTACTCTGACACACGTGGGGTCGCCATGAGTTGAAATGGACTCCATAGCAACTGATTTGGATTCTTTTGTTGTTGTTGTTGTTGTATCCAATGATACCAGATGATGCAGGGACTATTGGATCGAGCACTTGAGACTACAGGTGACCTTTGAGGGAAAAGTCCTCCTTTGTTTACTATATACTGGAAAGAGCATATTCCAGGTTCACCCTGCCCTGTTCAGAACACCTATTTAAGGGGAAGCCCAAACCCCCAAGTTAAACACCATTTGTGCTTTATCTAATTTACTGCGTATTTTGGAGTCCAAAATTTGTCCCTCTTTCTCTTGGAATCTGTTCAACAAATACTAAGAAACTGCACTTTGGCTGGGAAGAGTATTGGTTGAAGGTCAGAGCCCTAGGTTTGAATCCCAGCTCTGCTACTTGCCAAGAGTGGGAGCTTGGGACAGTCACTTTCTCTCTCAGAGCCCCAGTTTTCTCCTCTGTAAAATGGGGGTACTTAAACTTAGTCTTGAAGGATGGAATGGGTTGAGAGCTTATGTTTCAGGCCTTGGTGGGATACCTGGCACACAGCGTGAGTGCTCAATAAACGACGGCGTCCTTCCTCAGGGGCAAAGAATTTTCCTCAGCCGCCTCCAGCTTCAGGGAATCTAGGCCTCCTCTGAACACAAGGTGGACGGCACAGCAGGCTGTGGCCTTGTTCTGTAGCCAGCATGCTGCTTCTCTTAACATGGACCCTGCAGATGCACAGCTTGAACTGTGTGTGGGGGGTGGGGAGAGCTTCTGTGGCTTTCGCATGGCTACAGGGAGCAGCAGGTCTTCTCTAACCAACAGGCTTGTTTTCTCTGGACTTGGGCTTAGGGACTTGTGGAAGGGGTTTGTGGGCAGTGAGTATCTGTCCTGAGTAGCAGTTGGGCCAAGGGCAGAGATTTTGTTCCTAAAGGGTACAATCCAATCCCCAGCCAATGGACAAACCTCTGCTGAGCACCTACTGTGTACTGAGACAGAGAAACAAGCGTGCTGCATTGCTGCATTTTGGACCTAGAGAAGATCCTTCTTGTTCCCCAAAGATGGCAGTGGAAGTGAGGGTGAATTCTATGGCCAGGGGTTTGGTGCCCTCCGCCCTCTTTCTGTTCTAGGATCACCATGGTGAACTCACAGTGGGGCTATTCAGGCTTACCACCTTCTCTGTTTGGCCATAGGGCCAGACCACAGCAGGCCACTGCCTGTAAACACCATAGAATCCTGTAGGCCTCCAGGTTCTGCATTATTTCAGGGTCATTATTCCACACACTGGCTCCTCTGAGCTGCTATTGACCCTCCCATTGCCAAGGAGATGAGAGCTCCACCATGAAGGGACTGGGTCTGAAGATCATAGCCACATAGAAATGGGCCCTGAGGCCTGAAACAGCCCCTGGGCAACCTGGGAGGATCTCAGGACTCAGGCCTGAGTTCTTGGGTCAGGGTATTCTCAATTCTCCCCTTGGAAGCTCCAGACCTGGCCTGGGACCAGGAAGAGAGATTAAGAAGTATCACAGCCTAGAGGGCCCTTTGATGGTTGCTAGGTGGTGCAAAGAGTTGGCACTCCACTACCAATCAGAAGGTTGACGGTTTGAGACCACCCAGTGGCACTGGGGAAGTAAAGCCCTGGCAATCTTCTTCCATAAAGATTACAGCCAAGAACGCTATGGAGCTCAGTTCTATTCTATAACACATGGGGTCACCATGAGTCGGAATTGACTCGATGGCAACGGGTTTGGTTTTTTGGTTTTAGAGGGCCCTTAGAATTCATCAAAGCTACCCTCCTTATATTATAGGTGGTGAAACTGAGGTCTGGAGAGCGGAGTAACCTGCCCAAGGTCTCAGGGCAGGTTGGTGGCAGAGCTGGGCAGGAATTCTTAGCTTCTCTTGAAAAGGCAATAACTCACTTGAGAGCTGGGTAATGGCTGCTGTCTTTAGACCAGGTATTCCTTCTCCATTTAGCCACAGTCCCTACCACTCGCTATTGACACCTACCAACTAACCCAATTCACTCATTGAACTTTTACCTACCTGGTCCCACAGGCCCTTGAGTTTGTAAACTCCAATCTAAATGGCTGTTTCCCTCCAACTGAGTCTTGTTAGCAGCAGTTTGCCACAATTTATTTTCCATGACTGCAACCTGGTATACATTTACCCATTTCACAATTAGCATTGGTGTCACCACCAGCTAGAGGGTTTGGAGATGGGCTCAGGGGCACTCCAACCCGAGTGGATTGCTTCCCAGAACTTGGGCAGACGACCTAAGGAAAACATCCCATTGCCAAACAAGGGGAGCTCAGGCAACTTCAGCCCCGTCCTCTGTGGGAGCACGGGAGTGAGGTTCCGGCTATTGACCTGGCGCATGTAACCCACGTTGGTGGCATTGTCCATGCACTGCAAAGCACCAGCACCCCTGGTCGACGGCACCATGGAGGTGCTGTTGTTGGTGCTGGAGTGGTCAGGGGTGGCCATGATGGTGCTGGGGTTGGAGTAAGCATTTTGGGAGCAGTGGTCCAGTTGGTCCAGGCGCAGGGAGTCGGTGGCTCGTTCCAGGCAATGGGCTGCAAGCCTTGGCAGGCTCATTGCTGTTTTGGGGCAGTTGGTATAGAAGGAATTGGTGGATCGGTCAAGGTAGTTGATGCCTTTGATGAGTTGGTCCAGGAAGGTGGGGCTGGAGGGCCCAGAGGGACCATCTGTGCAGAGCAGGTAGTGGGGGCTGCCACGATAGGCCGGCTTTCTGGCCATCTTGGGGCGGTTGGCCAGATGGCTTGTCTCCACACACTTGGAGTTGTAGGGCCGGCCCATGCAGATTCGCCGCAGTGGGATTCTGGGGGAGCTGGGGCTGGTCGAACACTCCGGGGAGTTGCTGCGGTTGCTGAACTCTGAGTCACTTGGTGTGCGGGCACGCTTGAGGCTGTTGGTCCCAGTGAGGTTGGGGCATTGGGTCCAACCTGAAGTCCAGGCTGGAAACGACACATTGTTGGGATGATTCAGGTGGCTGTAAGTGTTAGAACGCCCCACGTGGCGCCCAGACATCGTCCCCGGCTGGAAGGATAAAGCTTTGTGGTGCTGAGTTGCTGTGAGCACACCCAGAGTTTGGTTACCTGTGACTGATGAGGAGAGAGGAAGGTCAGCTCACCTGGGCTCCCTGCCAGACTTTCTCTCCAGGTGTCCCGTCGGCTCCCAGAGGTCCAGCACCTCCCTTCTCTGTCTCACCTTCCTACTCCCAGACCCAGGGATTTTCAGACTAGAAAACTGACACACTAGTCTTCAGAAAACCAAAGAGAAGAGCAAGAGAAGGGAAGGAGGACAAGACCTTCAGAACAAGCAAAGCCAGAGAGCCCCCTGGAAAAAGTTGAGCAGTCTCCTTTATCTGTTTGCTCTAGTCCACATTCTGAAATTCCCATTTGCCTTTGAAGCAGGGATTCCAGAAGGCCACAAAGGCCAAGGACTGATTCTCTAACGGTGAAATTCCAAGCACTGAGACAGGGTTTTTTTTTTTTTTTTTTTTAAAGAGGTAAAATCAAGTAGCTAACAAGTCCAGCATTTCATCAAAACTAAGGTAAAATAGATTATAAAATCTACTGTTATTTTATGTGTGGCCAAGAAAGAAAGTCCATCATCAATTAAACTACAAGACCCTCTAAACTGTAAAATGTACCCTGATATTAAAAAACATGTTTTAGAATCAAGGCAATACTCTATTGCAGTCTCAGGGTGTGCCTGGCCCTTTGCTGTGCGTCTTACATGGATTATCTTATTGGATTCTCACAACAAATCAAACAGGCAGTTACTATTTTATTCCCAGTTGACAGATGGGGAAACTGAGGTTCAGCTAGATGGTGTGACTTGCCTAAGATTGCACAGCTTTTAAATGATGGGGCAGGGGTATCATCTCAAATGTGTCTAATGACCCCTGAGAGACAATGCTACATTGTCGGGGTGACTTTGGTGCCCCTCACAGTCTACTAAGTTGAATTCTCACCACCCCTGCTCTGCCTGACTAGACAGGGACACTGATGGGGAGAAGCAGGATGTGGGGGAAGGCCTTGCTAATCCTATAACTAAGTTTATCCTGACTTTGGGAACCCCGAATGAGGACGGAGGGCAGATGGTGGGACAAGTCTACTGATGGGGCTGGATTTGTGAAATCAGAACCCTTCAGGGTACCTGGTTGTGATCCTCTCTGACCCCGGAAGGTCTCCCTGCCCACCCCACAAGATGGGGGAGCATTGCGGTCCCCACTGCTCCTGGTCCAAAACTAGGCACTTCATAAGGGCTTAGGGCCTTACCAAGCCAAAGAGTTGCCCAGTCCATTTAACTCCACCCCCCCATCCCTGGACCTCCTGGGGCTCTGCCCAAGGCAGTGTGGTCTCCGTCCCCACTGTCCCTCTGCTCTCCAATGTCCCGCTTTGCCTCCCAGCCAGGATGAGGGCTCTGGCTTCTCTCCCTGCTACTGCCAGTTGATGCTAATTTTCCATTTCTGCTGGTAAGAACAGAGCAGTATTTGAGCCAGTCCCACCCAGAAAACAGCTGCCCGCCTCTCTCCCAGCCTGCGGCCCCACAGCTGTCCCTGTCTTTTGGGTCTGAATTAGGTGGAATGTCAAGACCCTTGTCTCTTCCGTCCCAGGTCTAACCCCACCCTGTCTCCTCCTCCAAAAAGATAGGAGGTGACTGAGACCCACAGGTCCCTGCCCTGCCCTTCCGGCGGGCTGGGCCCCATCTGCCACAAGGGCCCTCTCCCCGTCTCACTCTTTTAGGAGGTAGGTGACTTAGACCTCCTCTTGCACTCTGCTGGCGATACCCTCATGCCGCCACTCCAGACTGCTGGCCATGTCATAGAATCATGGAATCCTGGAGCTGGGAGGGGCCCCCGGAGGTCGTCCTGCTTATGCCTCTGCCTCAGGGCCTGCACCACTTTAATCCCTCCTGGACAGATGGGACTTATTTTTAAAATGAGGCTGGGGTGGACATTTTCCAGTGTCCTTGTTGCTTTTCTAGTGTTTAATTGTGCTGCGAGGTAGGAAGTTCCATGCCAGGTCTAATATAACCCCCGCTTGCTGTGGTCAGCATTGAGTTCATCTCTTTTCTTGTTGGGTCAGCAGATATGTATCGGGTCTCCCTTGAGTACTGTCTCTTGGGGTGACCCATTCCTGGACACAATAGCAACTCCTTTCCTCCCTTCTCGTCTCTCCCTCATGTAGTCAACAATCCCGTGTTGAACACTTTCTATGTGCTGGGCTCTGGTTAGATCCTGAGGATTCTTCAGAAAGCAAATCTCAGTATTCCTTTCAGGACCCCGACACCCCCTCTTCCAGGTCTGCTCCATAGGGGGCATGTAGTCATTTGTTGAAGGAATGGACAAAATTCCTCTCTGACGTTCTCATGGTATTAGCCAAGAAAAGTACCCACTTTCATCATTTTCTTTCCTCAGACATTGAAAATACATTTTCACCTTTAATTTTAAAAAACTTTCAAATTCACCAAAAACTGTGAGTTTATGGCAATGGTGGTAGAATCATTTGCAAAAGGATAGCGAGAAAGGTTGTACAACTTGAAGAATATAATCAATGTCACTGAATTGTACACATACAATTTGTTGAATGGGTGTGTTTTGCTGTGTATATTTATATAAGTATATAAATATTTATAATTATTAATAAAATAATAACTTCTAAAAGTTACTGAAGCTTACAAGATAATGAACCCTCAAATACCCTTCAAGGAGCCCTGGTGGCGCAGTAGTTAAGCACTCAGCTGCTAATCGAAAGGTCAGTGGTTCAAACCCACCAGGCGCTCCAAGGGAGAGACATGTGGCAGTTTGCTTCCATAAAGATTTATAGCCTTGGAAACCCTGTGGGGGCAGTTCTGCTCTGTCCTATAGGTTTGCTATGAGTTGGAATAACTCCACAGCAGTGGGTTTGGTTTTTTAGTTTATATACCCTTTATCTAAATTTACTAATTATTAACATTTTGCCACATCTATCACTCCATATATATGTATGTACTTACATGTATATCTAATAATAATTACTATTTCAAGAGTAAGTTACAGCAACATCTTTTACCGTGACTATTTCAGCATGTAGCTCCTAAGAATAAGGACATCTTCTTACATATCCACACTGCAATGATCAAATCCAGATATTTAACATTGATACAGTATCTGTATACCATATGCATTATATATACCATCTATATTATCTAATATATAGTCCATATTCAAACATTACTGATTGTCTTTCTAATGTTCTTCCTGGTAATTATTTTTCCAATTCAGGATCAGGAATTGTATTCAGTTCTCACGTCTCTTTAACCAGGGCCTTCATTATCTAGTGCTGCTATAAGAGAAATAACCACAAGTGGGTGGCTTTAACAAACAGAAATTTATTTTCTCACAGTTTAGGAGGCTAGAAGTCCGAATTCAGGGTGCCAGCTCTAGGGGAAGGAAGGCTTTCTCTCTCTGTCGGCTCTGGAGGAAGGTCCTTTCTTTGAGCTTCTGCTGCTGGGTAATCTTCATGTGGCTTGACATCTCTTTTCCCCCATCTTTGCTTCTCTTGCTTGTTTAATCCCTATATCTCAAAGAGATTGACTCAAAATGCACCCTACACTAATCCTGTCTCATTAGCATGACAAAGACAACCCATTCCCAAATGAGTTTATAACCACAGGCAAAGAGGTTAGGATGTACAACATATTTTGGGGGGACACAATTCAATCCAAAACAACTAGTAAACCAGTTTGCTGTTCAGTTGATTCCAACTCATGGCGACCCCATGTGTATCAGAGTAGAACTGTGCACCATAGGGTTTTCAGTGGCTGATTTTTTGGAAGTAAATTGCAGGTCTTCCTTCTGAGGCATCTTTGTGTGGCTCAAACCTTCAACCTGTCAGCTAGCAGCTGAGCGTGCTCACCATTTGTACTATATATAGGTCTCTTTTTCAGTCTCCTTCAATCTGGAACTGTTCCTCAGTCTTTCTTGGTCTTTTATGACTTCGATATTTTTGGAGAGCGCAGGCCAGTTGTTGTGGAGAATGTTCTCCAATTTGGGTTTATCTGGTGTTCCCTAATGATCAGATCTAGGTTTACAAAGCTCTTTAATATAGCAACTTCTCAGTAGACTCTCACCAGTCCACAATGACTGAAAGTGAAGGGCCTTTTGCCCCAAGGGGTGGTGATAGTCCCTGAAAAGGGAGCCAGGAGACGGGGTCAGAACTCAGTGAACAAGGGAAATGGCGTTGACGGTTTGCTTACGGGGCCTGAGCCAGGTCCTGGTTCTGCTCTGGGCTGGGGGCCTGGCAGGCAGCCAGCCAGCCTGAGGGCTGGGCCTCTGGGCTGTTTGTCCTGAAGGTACCCAGGCATTGAGATCACTGGCCATTTCTGGCCTGGGCACTAAGAACTTCTGGAAATAACTCCAGGACAATTATTTCAGGAGGAATGTGCCATTCCTCCATCTTCTCAGAAAGCTGGGCTGTGTCCCAAAAGATCAGGAAAGTCTCTCTCAAGCCTCCCGAACCCCGGGCCCTCCAGGGCCCACATAAACCTTCAGAAGGACTGGGAGCCTGAAGTGGGGCCAAGAAGACTAAAAGCCCACCTCCCCAGGGTTCTAGGCTCTCAGGGCCCAGCCTGGAGTCAGGGGTCCAAAGGGCTCCGAGCCCAGGACATAGGGGAGCTATCTGCCCACCCGCCACCACCCCGGCTTATCCTGAGAAGCTGACATCAGTGGAGCACCTACTATGTGCCAGAAACCCTGACATTGTTGGTGCTGACCCCTCACATCCACTCCCACAGCACCCCTGAGAGGTAGGTATTTTGCTTTTTAGATGAAGTCATTGAGGCTCAGAGAGGGCAAGAGACTTGTCCAAGATCTCATAGCAAGTCAGAATTAGAATCTAGCCTTTGGGTTCCAGAATCTACAGGCTTAAGCACTAAGCCAGGAAGAGGGTGGGCCACCTCCTCGCTCCATGAGGACTCAGTAAGTGACCCTGTGAACTAAGCAGAGCTGGGAGGGGCCCAGACAGGAGACAGAGGCTGGT